TGTAAACCCATGCCATGTAAAACCATATAGTTTTTTCATATAATTTATACCTTAAACCGTTTCCCCATGGTCAATGAGCTTCGCTTCTTCTCTTCCGAAACCCCGGTTTGCTTTGGTCAGGCATGAGGACACAGAGGAGAGGCGCGACACGGTCTGGAGGACTCTGGATTTGTGGTTTGCAGATATACCCGGTGTATACAGTATATAGTATAAACAACTGTAAACAATGAGTACCGAGTACCCTTGACATCTACCAACATACCATAGGAGAAAAAAGACACACCCATCCAATACCTCTGGATGAGGCTAGGTGGGTTCCTCCTTCGGCTTGAAGACAGCTAAAGGCACATGTTTACATGGCAAGATGGGTTCTTTTGGATGGGGGCCAAACATCCGTTTAGATAGGGGTTTACATGGCATTATTTGGGTGTTGGGGATCTGTTTGGATCAATTGATTTGAACCTTTCCTGGCGGTGTTTTCACGCACAACTGCATGGTGGTGTTCATCGCCATCAAGACCAACATGCCCCATCATGCCAGAATGGTTGAATATATCAACAAATCGCTACCTCGACCCAAAGCGGATCCCTTACGACTTCTCTTCTTTAAAGTCGGATCATCCGTCATCGTCGTTCTTTGGCTTCGTTGGATTTTAATGACACATATTCCCAGAAGCTCCATGTATGGTATATTTGCCTACCTTGGGGTGGTTTGGGGGGTCAATGGGGCGGCATATATGGCAGTCCCATGGAGTGTATATGGGATTTATACATAAACTTTATGTTAAGCAGCCCGGGCGGTATATAAAATAAACAGCATAAACCGTATCGTTTCAAGTTCATATATTTATGTTTGTTTATATAATCGTGTCTTTTAATTCCCAAACAGCAGCCGGGGCGCTGTTCCACCCATGGGAGATCGGGTGTTAAGCGACTCGGGAGAATTTCTGAGATGTGGTTCCTCGGTTCCATCGAAGAAGCCTAGTGTAGTGAGGCGATTTGGTTCAAAAGATGTGAAACACTGGGAAACTCATAGGATCATCTAATGTCATCTAATGATCTAATGGGTTTTCTATCTGGAGGTCCATGAGTAGTGGGCTGGCTAGTCTATTCATGACCCAGAATGGATCCAAGTCAATATCTTGTTAACCTGAACATGTTCGATCATGTTGGGGATTCAGAAAGGGTGTCTCCGTGTCTCCCTTTTGGTACGTGGATCCCATGTCTCCTTTCGGGGGGGCGACCAGTTTCACGCTCTCTTCGACAGGCGAGTGTCTCTCTGACGGCGCATCGCATGGACGTCACGGTGCGTCATCCCAGTCGCAGCGTCCGAAGAGAGGACGATGTCACGGGTCAGACGATGTCAGGTGGATGTCAGGTGGAACTGAGGTGGTTCAGATCATCTAGATTGCCGACAAGCTCAGTTTGACCCAGTAAAAAACCGGATCATTGACCTCCGCAAGTCTTGAAGTAGTGTTTTTGTATGAACACGTCCAGTAAAATGAGGTCATTTGACCTGTAAGGATTGTATCCTGCCAGTGCAAGTCAAGAGATGATAACGCCAGTTGGCAAGTAGTTGTAGTCAACTCATAACTTAAAGTTTACTGTTTCTTCGATTTGTTGGGCTTAGCAGCTGGGCGATGAAAAGCAGAATGGCCCTGACTCGTCTAACACACCATGTGCCTCACACCCGGCCCCTCCTTTGCGAGCAAACGGGGTCGAAGTCTTATTCAAGGGACCATCAGTTGGCCGTCGTTGACAAGCAACGGGCCGATGGGACCTTCTGGAATTCATGCAGTTTGATGGAGTTGGTGCACAGTTGTCGATGTGTTTTTTTCCTAACATGTGTGTTCTCTTTTTGGGGGTCTCAAATTGTTTGTTCTCACAAGTCTTGGATACTATTTAACTATATATGTCTGAGAACTTGGGGCAATTGACGAGAGATTGTCAATCAGCTCACCTGATCATGAGTCATGACTTGCAGTACTTAAATGCTTCCTGAGGCTATGGACCAGGTGACGGATGTTGATCTTCCCGCACCAGCCAACCAGTAAACCCCATGTCAACCCATGTTTTTGGGTGACAGTGCCTGCCGCACGTCCGGAACGTCAAGCATGTTTCTATTCGCGTCACCTCACCAAGGATGACGTTCGGTGCCCCACTGGGATGATGATTTCATCCTCGTCGTTACATGAACTTCATGAATCCTTCTTTTCATGAGTTTGTCGTTCCCTCTTCGTCGTTTCATGGTCTTCCTTTTGATCATGTTCATCTTTGTTTCATGCACTTCGTTCTTCGTTCGTTTCATGCACTCTTCTTCGTTCGTCGTTTCATGCACTTCATCTCCCTCTTTGTTTGACAAACTTCATGAACTGAACTTAGGTTGCAATACTGGACAGCAGCAGTTGTGCTGCTGCGGGATCACATGAAATAGCCGTGCTCCCCAAAAAAAACGCCAAAGGTTTTCTGGGAAAGAGCCTTATGAGATCTTATGAGCAGTCTTGAGATGCTTGAAAGGAGTGGGAAATGAGCAAGGTTGAGACGGTTGAGAGTTGAGAGAAACATGGTTGCCAAATTCATTTGCAAAAACCGCCATTTTGCTACAGCAAAATTACGTAATTTACGGTATGCCTGCGAGGGCGTGTGCCATGGCAAGCGTGTTAGGGTAAAACATGGGTGAACCTGACAACCTCTTCATCTGAATTGGCGACCCCACGACAGATTTCGCCAATTCTGCGACCCCACGACCTTCCCAGCCAACCCACGACGACTCGCTGATCAATTCGTGATGGACAACATGGACAACCTGCGGACAGTGTGGACTTCGTAGTAAAGTCCCAGCCCTTCTAGGTTGAAGGGCTGCGCTCAAGGCAACCACCTAAAGACTTCCTATGGACTTCCAGATTCAATCTGTCCAGTGCTCCTGGTGATGGAGGGAGAGTGTCCTGTGACACTGTTTTTCGTTGTAATATAATATATAGATATGTATATCTATAATTGATTATATAATACCTCTCACTGAGGGTTGTCCAGCTAGTGATTGTGGACTCATTGTGAACTTTGGTGAACCGTCGTCTAGAGCAACAGGCGGGCGTGAATATTATTTCACTCACGGATGGGTCAAGAACTGGCAACACCAGATTGACCTTGGTTGAAAGGATGTCGATGTCCAATTTGAGAGGGCCGAATGACCACCACGTGCCACGATGAATATCTCTTGCTGCTGCTTGCACCAAGACCATCAAGGCCAAAGGCGTGCCGATTCTGCTCAAGGCAGCAGCGCTATGTGGCCGAACTCCCCAGCGCGAGACCTGGCGCGGAGGTTCTCACCGCGCGGGAGACCTCCGCTGGAGAGCTCGTGACTGGGGAGATGTCTAGCATCCCTGAAACGCGCCCGAAGAGAGGGCGGCTCTGGAAGAGCGGTTTCGTCGCCCAAAGAACAAAGTCGACAGAAGTCGCGGTTTCGTCGGTTCCCAACGTGATAGACCTGATGAATTCACTTTTGGAGCAGGTTTCACCCATACTATTTTGTGGTTGTTTGAAGCCCAGACCATCCATGTATGGCGTTCGGGTGGTTTGAGGGGTCAATGTATAGGCATATGTGCAGGCATACACGCTTTGGGAAGGTGGGACCCTTTGCCACCCATGACCATCGGAGCTTCGAGTGGTGCCTGAGAGAAAGAGCGGCCGGTTCCAATATGTTCCACTGCCGGCCCTCCACTGGGAGGGATGATGAACACCTGTCCGTGAGAATGAGCACCTGTGGTTTCTTTTGTTTTTTGCATATTTTATCATATTTTTACTTTTATGTAATTGGAAAACCATTGAAAGATTGAATTTGTCAGTCATTTCTTCAGGCGCTTGATTCAATCAAGCAGAGATTCCGCGAATAACAAGGTTTGACCGGCCAGGCAAATCCCTCACAGAGGCTCAATGTGGTGACCATACATTGGGGTGGCTTGAGAGGTCAATGTATATCGTACGCATATACATGGAACGTTTGATCAGGAAAGGCTGATCAGTGTCAAGGAGACTGGTGATGTACTTTGCCCGTTCGAGCTTGCCCTCTTCTTCGAGCATAGCCCGGCCTGCACCGTTCGATAGAGTCACGCCTGTAAAGAAGATCTTAAGCTCCAAGAGCAATACGCAATTGGCTCCAAAGGCGATGTCGAAAACGAAAAGCGTCTTCTCAGTGTGACATAGCAGAGTTTGCTGCTCTTCTTTCAGAGGTGGATTCCAGGCCAATTCAAAGGACCCGTTTCCAGTCGGAAGCAGCTGGGTATTTTGTAATTTGGATGTTTTGTGGTTTGTGTGGAGTATTGTGACGGCATGGGTTGGTCGAAGATTACATTATTTTTTGTTCTAAGAATACATGTTGGTTTACAACTCATTTACTACCATGTCGAGTTTCTGTTGCATTGCATGACCGTGAACTAGCGATGTTTACTACTACTTCTGGGGGACTAGGAAGGCAATGGAACTCAACATGGTATGCAAAACTTTGGATTTTCATTTTTCCGTACCACTTATGCGGCATAGACTTCCACAACTGCTCTGAATCAAATCCATCCATGTGACTGTGTCAACCGTCTCCACCATTGACACGTGGACCATTTAGACCACCATTGCTGCGCTCAAGCTGCACCTTCTTTGCGCTCAAGCTGCACCTTCTTCAAGCCCCAATATGGCGCACTGCGAAAATGTTTTAAGCACTACATGCCGTTTTTCTGCGAATGGAGTATGTGGATGCCATCCGGATGACGTTGACTATAGATGTATAAGATATCGAACAGCCGGCGAACGGGTCTTTGTGGGAACAGTTCTATATATAGTTAGGTTAAAACTAGCATCGTCGTCCAACATGTCCATTTCTAAGACCAAACTGACGTTCGAGGTTCTTAGCGAAACCTTAGCTTTGCAAAAGGGCTTGATCTTTTTCAACATCCAAGGTTTCCCACCGTTTGTTGCTCCGCACTTGACCGTACGCCACCTGCCCGGCAGATACGTCACCGTCGCGGGGATCATTGCGGGGCTTAGCGCAGTGGTGCTTGGTGCGATTGGTTTCGTCCCATGGCTTCTGATGCGGTCGGGTTGGTCAATGGAGAGGATACCCGCGGCCATGTACCACCGTGATCCCAATACCTTCGGTGCGGTTCGGTGCGACTTGCCCCTCGTGGCGCCTACCTCAATGTGTTGGGAAAACATCACCTTCTCAGAGGGTATACAAGCAATAGGTATATGGTACCGGGCACTGACCTCTCCATTCTTCCGAAAAGGATGATTCATCGGTAGCGTACTCAGTGGAGACAAGTGGGTGTGTGGTGTGGCTGGCTGGCTGGCTGGCTGGTTGTTTGGTTGGTTGGTTGGTTGGTTGGTTAACGTTGGTTGGTCCTGGTTGGTGTTTCTTATACTACTTTTTGAATCTCTTTGGTGGTTGGAGCGGCTGCCAGTTGACTTCGTTCTTTTTTTAAACACGGTTTCAAAGGATTGCAAGTGAAGTGGTTCTGCAACGTTTTACTGTGGTCCAGGTGGCTTCGCACATACCGGCATGTGGAGCTGACTGGAAGTGTCTTGGGTGGACCCCGTCGCCCTGGTTCCCGAGCTTGTTTTGTTCCCTTTTCAAACCCTGGTTTGGGGATGACTCGTATGGAAAAGAGAACCTGACTCCAGGAGTCACGAGACGGGGTGGTTTGTAGTTCCATCCAGTGAGGGGGATAATGGGCACCCCTATCCTCCAATAAGCACCCCTTTGTGACTGCTGGGGACAAAATGTTGTCTTTGACTCCAAAGTTAATGGTTGCACGGTTGCACCATTCTGGCAGCTCATGGCCGCCAGAAACGAAGGAGCTGCCAAAGATATGCCTGTAGAACATCTACTCTGGGGGTGGTTTGTGGTTTGTCAGTTTCAATATTTGTTGCCGGGTTTTGCTTCAGGCCATTGTCTATTTCCCTGTCGGTAAATCCCCTTCTGGGGATATTTGCTATTAGTTCCTCAAGCAAATCCAAGTTTGGGTGTTGCTTCCTTCTTGGCACGATCTCCGAGGTGGGGCAAATGGCCAAGTCTCCCACCAGGATTTGTGCCACTCGCCCATGATTCGCTTCGGCACCCGGGGACAAGCTACTGAAGCGGTGCTGGCGATTCATGCTTTTGAGAGTGCATTTGGGTGGATCACTCAACAACAGGTCATCCACGGGAGTAGGTTACAATAGCCTACAGGTAGTTTACTGGACCTGGTCACACCAAAACACTACTGCTTATATAAGGAGCTACAAGACTCGGTTTTACTCGGTCAAACTGGACGTAAGTAGGGATAGACTTCGCTTCGTCATCGTTTTCAGTGTTTGACCGGCTTCGACCGGCATGCTTTCACCAGCTTCGACGGCGCGGACACGCAATGATGGTCTGACTCGACTCGGTGACCTCTCAACTGGAGTCAGACTCGGTGGACACCTCTGACGCATGCTTTCACCCACGACTCGTTCAGGTTCTCCCTTTGAGGAACGAAGAAAGACACACACACACACACACTTGCGCCCTCTCGCGCCTTTTTGTTTCTGCGGTTCGTGAACCTCTGCCCACCCATACCACCGAGCATAGTCACTTCCAGACTACCTCTTGTGGCATGACGCGTGCACCT